AACTCATTCTAGTCCAAGTACACAAAAGTTATTTCATGTAAAAATGTACGTTAACGGTGTACAATCCAAAGCATTTGGTTTTGTACGATAAGCACCATCACTTGAGCAATCTTCAATTGCTTATGTATGTATGCTACTTTGTTTGTCTTCCTTTTCATCCTCGTCTTCTTACCCAAGGGCTAAGAAGAAAGGTCGGTTGAACTGACGGCAAAGGTCCAACAATGGTCCTTTGAGACAGAACAGTTCTCACTTCTTTAAAGCATACAGAACATTCACTTGAGGCTCAATGGAAGATGAAGCAATGAAACACTTCTTACACTACTGAAACGACCAGAATACCAGAATCACTCTACTTAAGGTCCGAGCCTACTTATCTTCGGAAAAACGTTAGGAGCATGATTATGGGAAACGAATTTGATGCTTACCGCTCATCGTTTCTCGGACCCAGACAGCAACCGTCGAAATTTCGCGATCCGAGGACCGCGATTAGCAGGAATTTGGTTTAGCCATAAATACACAGCACACGTTCTAATACAAGTTGCACTTATCAGACAAACTCTCCATGCACCTGTGGCTTAATTCATTCACTGCATTGTTGCACATATTTCCTGGGCTTTGTCCTGTTGTCCTGTTACGGACACCTTGGGCACAGGCCTCATTCGTTGGACTATGTTCCAGAAATCGTGCCATATACAAAAGGAAGGAAGTAAATGGCAAGGACTATTTTCTGCCTCATTTCTGTCACCTGTGTCCTATCACGTGTCAAATTTTTGACCAGCAACCGAATATCTGTTCAACTTATAATCGATAGTCTGTATATTTTTGCATCTACTTGATCATGTCTACGCAGCATGACTCGCATAATCGGGAACAAAAAGTTCCTTACTTATATTTACGTATAATCCGGGATTCCTGTTCCGCAGTGGCGTTAGGCCAATATCCCTATGGTTAGCATAGTCGGTGCGACTGTCATTCTTGTATATTGCCACAATAATCGATGCACTCCAGTTAACCAGGACGATGTCATCCATCCATACATGTTCGAACAGGGAGTTCAGTGCTTTGCAGAGAACCTCACCTCCATCCTTAAATAGTGCAGGTGAGAGGGAATCCGGGTCAGCAGCGCGAAAACGGTTAAGATCATGTGTCGGACATCAACCTCCGATGGAGCCTCTAAGCTAACCGTCCATGGCTCAGTCTGGAAGCAAGGGGCCAACAAACTGATCTTGAAAACGCTCCGCCCAACGAGCCATACGGCGCTGGTTAATGTGAATCAGGGCACCTGCGTTGTAACCGATTGTTTCACTGGCGCCTGGGTTTCCTGGAAGAGCTAGTGATAGTTCCCTACTGCTCCTGCCTGCTCCATTTCTTGAGCCCGACTGGTCCACCACGCTTCCTTGTCAGCGCGCAGGCTCCGTTTTATTTCACTCGTAATAGTCCGTCTGGTTACATTCAGATAAGAGCAAGCCAGAACGTTCACCGACCTCTAGGATATCCAGTGATTAGTGCGGTGACGGCTGACAGTGCCACAAGCTGCGACAGTTTTAATCTGAAGCAAAAACAAAAACAATCGTCAGCTGTACGCCATAACGACGCACCGCTGCCACGCGACAATCACCAGTCGCGCGTGGACTGAGTATACCGCGAGGACGCCCACCCCTAAGCGGATTCGAACCGTTGACCTTATGGTTCCAAATCAGGCGCGCAGACCACTCGGTCACCGGCCGACATAAACGGACAAGCGCTTCAGAAGTACAACCTGAGAGATGGAATTGGACCAGCAAGCAACTGAAACCAATCGGTACCGAGAAGAGAGCAAACAAACGATCTCTGCCGCCGGACAATCCCATGGACAGGTTTGATATGCAGTCAGACTGTGAAACGCATCGGGCGCACTTGGTGCAGCTAATTCACGAAGAACCAATCGCGCAACCACGACGTCGAGTGGATCGAGTACAGAGATCCATATTTAAAATGCAAATGGACATGAGAATAAAAGCTTATTTCCCTTGCCACAGGAGTGTTAAGGAATATAGTCCATAAAACTGCTACGATTTTTCTGAGGCCCCATGTATGAAATCGCTGTTAATTCACCCACTTAACCCCACATGATGGAATCTAATCCACTCGAATTACCATAAGCATTGTGATAAGATTTTGCACCTTGGATCGAGCCTATGAAATTTGGTGATAAAATACACAGCTTCTCATCGGAAATTCATTCGTTTCTGAAGCACATTGCTTGGATATTAGCCCGGTTTCACTAACTTTAATATCCTAATAGAAATATCTCTTGATTACTAAGCAAATTCATACAATCTGGACACCCACAAACCACCAGTATTATTTATCAGCATATTTTATCGGACTAGTAAATGAATACTCATCTGTTATATTTTAAGTGCAGCCGATCAACATATGACCGATAAATGTGAAATTCTGTAGTCAGCTGATAATGCCTGCTCTGGTGTGTCGCACGCAAATCAAGGATAAATTTTATGTGGTTATTTATTTTTATAATTAGATTACAAGCAGAACCAAGGAGTAGTCCAGCTTGAAGCCAAAAGGCCAACAGTTATCGTCAAAAGTGTATAGGGTAACGCTAGCATTTATCAAAATCGCTCAACTACCTAGCCTAGGTTACTTTGGTTGGGATTAGCTGTATCTCATGAAACCCCACAGAAGCTTAGTATCAAAGTCGTTGCTTTTCGATCTGCGAATTCAGCTGGGCCAGAGGCCTTAATAGGTATGACAGGTTGTCTCTTATCATCAATAAAAAAGACAGCAAGCTTGATTTTCGGGTTTTGGAGCACTCGCCGTGTGCGACATGTAACCTCAATTGTGGCCTCGGTTGACTTTGAAGTCAGCCTCTGCCAATACGATCGCTGGGACCGTCACCGAAGTGGAGGGTTTCGGTGTGGCTCTCCCCCATCCCTTGCACTCCACGATCGACGGTTTCGTACTGGTTTGGACGCAACAGGTAGAGATAGCCGAGTTGGAAGTGGAACTCGGCAGCAGTGTTGTGCCGCGAATAGTCCTGATGAACGCACCTTTGTCTCCGATTCAATGACGTATCAAAACTGCGCAAAATTGCTATAAACTGATCAGCAGTTTAGTGCGAGGAATTGTCCCTTGCGGGCCAACCGCATGTAATGTACCGCGGTGAGGTTGAATAATTCGTGGATAGAATGTACCGTATCGTAATCAGTCGGTTAATCACCTCGAATACCTGCTACGGCCCAGTCGTTATCAACCACCACGGTATAGACAACGGGAAGTCACTAAAGGAAAAACAAGCTTAGGAAATGAGGGGGAACGAGTAGTTGAGTAATCAGCTGCCCGTCAAGACCCATGGCTAAAATCCAGAAACCGAAACCGTAAAATTGTTCTGAGAAACTGCTACTAGCGACATGGTTATTGATTCCATCGAGAAGATACTATAGAGGGCACAGCGGAAAAGCAAATCTCCAAGATCCGATCTGTAGAACGCCTGTCGTACTCGAGAAGAACATTGACAGTTTAGTCGGCAACAAATCAACATCATCTCCTGCATTACATCAGCATTTTAAACAAATATTGCGGTGTCATACTACCGCAAATACCTTGATAAGGAGTAATACTTAGGGGCAGAAAGTGCAGAACCTAAATACTTTGGACAAAATTCGGGATCAAGGCGTCTAAGGCTTATCGACCACCTTACAAAGAGGAGCAACACGACTGCAGCAAAGAGACGGGGACAGATCGTAAAATCGCTGTCCTAAATACCAGGCAGAAGTAAGCAAGAAAAACTAGTGAACGCCTAAATGATGATATTAATGCGAATGGGTCCAAACCGGAACTGGTGGTTGTGAAAAAGAGCCAAGCAAGCGCAGTAGAGAACAATGCTTATTGACAACGAGGTAGCAGCCTTCCCGGTGGCTAAAACCTCACAAATTTCATCGTCTCTTCCTAAACACTGTATGAAGAAACTAAACCTGATATATGTGAGAATAGCTCACGCAGTGAATTCAGCTCAGTCCAGTCAACTGTGATTCGGGTATTGAGGCATGGTGGGTTTAGTTGATGCGACAGGTGTAGACAGGATGGAAACAGTTAACACCGGATAGTACAATGAGGTGAAACACGTGGCTGTGAAAGGAAAAGGGGCGTGGGTAAATAGTTTAATACAATTAATTGAGGCGGAGGATCCCAACTATAATCGGTAAAGTCGTCCACTTGCGAGTACGCTACCCGGCATAAGATCTCCAACTACGGATGAACCCCACCCTAAGGGTCGCACTCATGAAGAGGGCAAGTGCCAGACTGACTGAGAATACGCGTCAGCTTCAACATACCTTCATGCCACATCAACGATTGGTCACCTCGTAGTTTCGCCCATCTCGGCTTAACCACCATAAACAAGGTGGGAGATCAGTGTGTGTGCGACCAAGCTAATGTAAACGATCCGCTTCCAGAAACACTCCAATGAAGTGCCGCAAGATGTCTTCCGATAAACCACCCGGTGGAACTCGGTAATGCTCGCTCAGTGCTCCCACCAGATACGCACAGACCGAACCCAAACTCCGGATTTCCAAACCAGATTTCAACGACAGAAACATCAATGAGAAGAAAACTTGGCGCCCGGTGCGTGTTACTGATTCAAAAGAGCGATATGCTGCGCAAGAATCTTAATAATTGCCGATGCTGTGTTTCGAATCAGTACAGAGACACTAGCCGAACTGCATTATTGCACACTTTGCCCCTGAACTGACATCCGCAGTTTCCGTTAAAGATAAAAACGGTGTAAAACACATGGGTATTGATGATGCGTAATGTGACTTCCCCAGCGACTTGGTCATCAGAAGTGAAAAACTACTTAGAAAAGCAAAGGGATCGAATGCAGAGGAAACCAAGTCGTGAATTGTCGCCATAATAGTCGATGAGCCTGTCAGCATTTGTTTGCACACAAATCCCTTCTCAAATAGCTCGAGCGAACCCAGTACAGGAGCAAAACAACTAACCTTTGGGAGAATCAGCGAATGCCTCGTGCTCCAACGACAGGTCCTCTATCGGATCCATAAACATAGCGCCGCCTTTATAGAGGTTACACGATTGCGTCTGGTCACCGGGATGTTTGCAGGACGATGCCAACCGGTGGATAGACTGTTCGGAAAGATGATCCAAAGTAAACGGCTCAGTCGATTGCGAGGCAGTGTACTTTGGAACAACTACCACCACCATTGCGTTTTGGCTGCTCGATCCGCCACAAAGAAGCCACAACAAGTGAAGACACGTGCACAGGCAATTTGACACTACCACTCCCAGGTCGACCTCTGGATCCACACAGCGACCAGTTTTCTCAAGCGGTTCTTTGCATATCGAGGTGGCAGGGCAATTGGATGGATGCGGATCGGGCGGCACTTCATCAAAAGTGGATGACCTGCAGTTAAGTTCACCGCCCATCGAATGATCACCTGAGGAAGGACGATGAGTATGCTAGTAACATCACAAGAACACAAAAACTGGTGCAAGTACTAGGTGGTTAGGAAGTTATTGCGGTTTCTAATCTTGGAACAGACGCAGCATTTTCACTATGGACAAGATGTATTTGAATTGACACCTCTACCGACAGGAAACAATTGTATTGAGCCCGGATGAATAAAATTCCGGAGTTCTGGTGGCGTTGAACTCGTCGAATGCGGTTTTATCATGCCCTTTGGACCTAAGACACTTCTCTAGGAGAAAGTTTTGCAGGTGCTTAAAAAAGTGGTAATCGGTAGGTGAGAGGTCATTGGAGTATGGTGGGTGAGACAAAGCTTCGCAGCCCGGCTCCTGCAGGGTTGGTTGTGTGACGTGTGGGCGAGTGTTATCGTAGTGAGGAATTCGCATCGTTCTGTCGACCAGTGTCGGACACACTTGTTGTAGTTATCAATGCGTTTCGGCAATTTGTTGATAATACTTCCCCGCTGTAATGGTTTCGCCTAGTTACAGAAAGCAATGAAGGATCAGAATAGCCGCATATGATCAAACAATTATCATAACCATTATGGGTACAAGTTTAGCATTGAGGAGTCTTGTGAAGCTTGATCGCGGTCTAACCACCGGGCAGTGCGTTGTCGATTGTCGTCACATTCTAGTTCAGAGAGGCGAGTTGTTTTTATTGCGCAGAAGGGCAGATGACACATCAGAACGATGATTACTTGAATTTTCATTCAATTTGTGGGGCAAGCAATTGCCAAGTCTTTTCGACATTCCATTCTCGCGTTAATGAATGGAAATCGCCACATGCCAATACCGCCAAGCGGTAAATATTTGGAACAGTTTTTTTGAACATGTGATAGAGGCAAGATCTGTGCAGCAGTTCAAAACGTTGTTAGATTTATATTTTACCACTATTCGATTCAAAGAACGATTGTACACTTACGATGACATCTCACATTTGTGAGTCCAGCAATACCGTGAGTCAGATATTTTACACGTTACATGAGAACGATAACGATATTCACGACTGACGATTTTTATAACGTTCTTCACCATATTAAGAAAGATTCTCAGTGATACATCAAGATGCAAACAAACAACTGTTTTCAATGATTCATCTACGGGCCGGTACAAATCATATCAAATCATATGTATAAAATCATATAAAATACGAAGGTAAATGCACGGGGATTGCTGCAAATACAGGTTTATGGTTAGACAGCAGATAGTTGGTCGCTGTCTTACACACACACAGAGAGAGAGAGAGATCGAAAAGTGTTACGTAATCAAACTGACGACGCCGGTTTAGGTTGACTGTTGTTCGGCCGTGGCAGACTTAGCGCTTGAACAAACTTCTTTCGTGAGCATAGCGAAGGTTGGAATATTCGGATCGCAGTAGCTTCTGCTATGGCGAGCATTCGTAGACGCAGACCTTTCGAAGGGGACCTGATAAATCACAGTAAATGCGTTCGGAAGTTTAACCCTGTGACCTGATTCGAATAGGTGGGAGAGAATTCCGCCTGCCAAAACTCCAGTGCCTCCGTTTGAACCAATCGCCGTGCATTTACCTTCGTATTTTAACCTTATATGATTTGTACCGGCTCATAGATGAATTATTGAAAACAATTGTTAGCCTCAGACCGGTGTTCTTGATATTACGAAAGGGTTGTACAGAATTCATTTCTACTTGCTCTAGATTACAGTATTCAGTAAGATCACATACAGTTTTATTCGGATCCGCTACAACCAAGACTCTCAATCGATCGTTGTTCACTTTCGATAGCCATCCACAACGCCCACTATTTGCAAGTCACCGGTAACCTACCCAAAAAGATTTTAAACCACCATTGTACAGTACGATCGTTAGTGGTTCACAAACAAAATGCATTGCTGATGTCACAAGGTTTTCAGCTGAATTGTAAGCAAGTTTAAAGTAGAAAATTGTGCGAATCCATCTGCCGTCCAGGTGGTATTACACGTTCTGCAAAAGTTTAAAAAACATGTTTCTTTGGTTGAACTATCCCTCTTGTTAAATAGAGCGAAGAACGAGCTTCAAAATTATACATAGCATCGAGGAGATCAATTAAAAATATATCCAAAAACAAAGCTGGCAAAAGTAACAACAAAAGATAAATTTCTTAACGACCTAGTAGTTTATTGGCAGGGTTAAATAATTTCGGTTCAAATGGCGGAAAGGGAAGAATGTGTCCCCAGCGTAGAGAGTGATCAGCTTATAAAAAGTAAGTCGCTACGGAGCTCTAATGACAAATGGTCTACCGTTCATTGTATTCAAACGACCAGACAAGATGACCGCGGTTGTGAACTGGCTGCTTAGTTCGCATAGATTGACGTTCATGCACAATCGCATAAATCAAAAGACGCACTCCAATCGGTGCACATAAGTATTGCAATAGAACTTCACCCGAAAGCTACGTAAGTAGATTTGTAAATTGACTATGCGAAGAACAAGGACATTCATTCGATCTAACTTCTTCCTCGTCAAATACACGGTTCTTTAGAAAAGCTTGCCAGTCACTATCCGGTCTAGTGGAAATTCAAGAACATTCCGCATCAGACTTGGGAAATTCCCGAACCGGAACTCAATAATGATCACTTTTTCAACCGAAAAATAACCAAATGAGTTCTTCTAAGGTGGACCAAGGAATATATAGCCAGTAGACGAAGCTGTTGCAAAAAACACGAAACCAAAACGATGCAGTTTAGAATGACTCAATAACACGGACGTTATTGGATACTTATTTAGCTCATGCATGAGCATGATCATAACTATGCTAATAATCTGCCCTTATTCCAAGGACAACTATTCGCAGATATGAGTACTATACGTGTTACTATTATTATTAATATTACTACTGCTAGTATAGTCCCACTTGGGGCAAGGCAAATTACCTCACAGCATAAGGCATGGTTTGTTCTTCTGTTGTATGGCCACTCACTTTTGGCTGAACAGCAAATACACTTAATAAAACCGGTAGCAGAGTGATAATCGCGGTTATTTATGTATTCATGTTGGATATAGTAATTTACAACAGACTGCTGATAACCACCGTTTCATCATGGAACAATGATCGAGTATCAATACGTTGTTGTTGTCGTCGTCTTCAAGCGCTCTTAAGGAATGAAGCAGCCAGCCGGCTGCGCTTAAATGCGAAAAATTCCACGGAAATCAGCCAGATTTTACGCTACCCACTTGATGGCAGCCAAGAGGGTTACGAATCTATTCAAGGCAAAATACAACAAGTGCGCAAATATTTTAAGGGTAATAAATAAATTTTCCCCTCGGAAGTTGTAAGCTAACGAGATTACATGCTCCAGCAATGAATAAGAGAACATTTACACAGAACCACAACGTGAGCATTGTAGTTTAACCGTTAACGAACATAGATAGCGAAGTAAAGGAATCGCCCGGTTAATTGTTCACGGACATCATGTTGGCATGTAAAGTGGACAGGAAGTGGAAAGTCGACAGAACACTTAACACGTGTCGCTCAGTCTATCATCGGTCTAACGCCGATTCACGTGTGTAAAAAAACATAGAAAGAATGCAGAAATAATAATGGCTATGTGCAAAAGCGTTCAGGCATAAAGCGATTAGCGCGAGAGCTGTCACTATCCCATCCCTTCTATGAGTGAAAGTCTCGCTTAGGTTCAGTGAGATGCGGAACAGATGAGAAACGGACAGCACGACCGGGACGAAGTTGAGACGTGGAAAATGAAACTAGTTGGCCAAACATGAAAAGGCACGTTCCTCTCGATAAGGAAGTAACCGATGCGATATTGTCTGAGTGCGCTCGAAAAGTTTGCTTCCGACGATTGAACAGTGGGAGGAATTCCGAAGCAGCACAATAGAAACGATCATAGGTTAACTGAACCGAACGAGAACGGAGTACCTGGAAGCAGAGCTGTGGCCAATGTCAAAACAAACCATAACACAGATTTAGTTAGGTAAATCCGAGCAAAATATAGACGTGAGAATTGGTGGGTGCCTAAAGCACAAACCATAAAAGATACCAATCCACAGGGAGAGATTAGCAGAAAATAGCCGAAAGTAATCATAGAAATAGCAACCGAATGTAAAGAACGTGAGGTCACTACAAATCATTTGGTCAATATCCACAGAGAAACTACTTAAATCGTGCATGAAGCGAAAATAATGAGCCAGCAATAAAAACCTCGCAAACGTGGCTAAACGATAAAAAGTTAGGAAGGGCAACAAACAGAAAAGGAAATTCGTAACAGCAGTGTCAAACTTTGTCAGTATAAGTTGGCGGTGTGGCAAGTGTCAAGTTTGAGTTGCAGATTCGGTAATCTCAGTTACTTAAGGTTTCTTTATTGCTCATTTCCGTAGCAAGACATAACCCATAAGTGAATAGGCGATCTGTACACACTGAAGGCTGGCTGCACACACACTGGAACGCATAGTAGCAGCATTTTATGTCGGATGGCCAGAAGCCACCCAACGAGAATGCAGATTTTCAGAACCAAACAGTGAGAGCGAACAACGGGCTCAGGCAAATTCTAATAGTAAGATAACATTTGTTAAGTCGAACACAGCAATCAAATCATAACGAATCCATTGCAACGTAACACTACGTTTCACGTTGGCCCCCTACTGAGAAATGTCGCTAAGAGCCCAGTCTTTTGATTTGAGGAGTTTGTCTTGGCGCTGACCCGTGGCAGCAGCAGTATCGGGTTGTCTGTATTGTAAGCAGGAACATAACAGAAAAATAAAAGAAGTATCATGTTATGGCAACACAGCACTGGTATCAACTCGCGACAAAGATCCAGATGGCAACGGAATAGATGCATACGTCCGTATCCCACAGTAATTTGGGTTAAGAGAGTTTGGAAGCAGAGTACGAGAGAGCTACCAAGGAAAGCTAAGATGGAGCATAACATGGACGATAGATAGGAAAACAAAAGGACCTTCATTGTTTGGAATTCAGAATATCCCGTGTGCGGGTGTGTGTGA